TCACAGAACATTCACAGCTGAAGCCAGCTCTCCTTGCTCCAAGGTTATGGGTAAGTGTCCTTTCAGTTTCACCTGGGTAGGGGCCACAGAGGAAAGAGGGAGTTGAACACGTGCAAACTACACTGACACAGATGTTTGAAATGCCATAATCAATCCTGGCCTGATAGTTTGTCTATTTAAATTAATTTTTTAAATGACTTCAACCTTTTCAGCTTGTTCTCATGTCACTCCATATAATGCAATCTCTTCTGCATACACTAGCACAGGTTTCACTATGTAGTGTCATTGGCTACACGACATATACATGTATCACAGTGTAATTTGCTACACTGTGATACAAAAACATACATTTGGATTTATAACTTACTCAATACCAGGTACTTTGTTGCATCAACACAAAATGCTCCAAACAAAAGGCTTTATAAAAAAAAAAAAAAAGCATATTGATGATTCAGAGAATAAAACAGACTTAATCAGAGGTAGAATAATACAGACTTAATTAAAAGTCAGATTAAAGGCCTGTTTCAGCTGGAACAATAGAAGCTGTTCCAGAGAAGAAAAGGGATAGTTCTGTGCCAGGAAACCTGATGGAAAACTGAAGGAATTATGTGGAGTGGAAGTAAAACACCTCAAAAGGGGTCAGGCCAACGGATGCTTCAAAAGACAAGCAGGAAGCTTGTCTAAGAGAAAGCTGAGTAGTATTACAGGGAATAGAGTCAAATCACAGAGCTAAGGTTTGAATAGCTAAGATGGCAGGGTCTTCATACTGTAGAACCCAGGATGACCTTGGCCATCAGAACCAAAGCTATCAGTGGTATGAGCCCAAAGGTACTCAAGGTGTTGGCTGCTTCTTTGCCTTCAATTCTGTTAAACTCAACAAGGCTTTAGGTATGCTGGAGTGAAATCACACATTAATTGGTGTGTCTAAGCCTGAAGTCAGTAAATGACATGATCTAAATACAGTTATGGCAAAATCAGCAAGAAGGGATTACTCAAACAGGTAATTTGTTGGTTGGTTGATCCCAGGGTAAATATGACCTCATCTGTGTGAAGGAGCTGATTTTGTCAGATTTAGACTGTTGGAAAAGTCTAGAAAAGGAGTCTGTGGTCCTTCACATAATCTTCTCCATGAAGTAGAATGAAGAGACAGACAACCCACATTATAGAAACTGGGATGTTCATGATAAATCAGAAGACCAGATCTCCAAGCTGACTAAAAGCTGAACTAAGGCATTGGTTACAGTATTCTGTAATCTGAACCACTGCTGAGTGTTAATAAATGGATGCTGGCAATAAGCAAACAAAGTGTACATACATACATACAATGATAAAGCATTAAGAGAAATAAGCCTGATACAAAAGAACATAAATTTTGGGTATTTTTCCTCATTATGAGAACTTTTCTTGAGCACTCTCAGTACTGCAACAGAAGCACTGTAAAGCAAGGTGGGGGTCTCATGTAGCACAGGGTAGCCTCAAATGTGTGGTATAGCTGGAGATAGTCCTGAATTCCTGATCCTCCAGCCTCTGCCTCTGGAATGCTGAGATTATAGGTGTGCATTCCAAGCACTGGCTTTAGATAGTTCTAGGGTTGAACCCAGGACTTTGTGCTCTCTAGGCAACTATCAACTGTGCTTCATCCCTAGATAAAAACAATTTTAATCTAAATATACTATACCCTTTTACTTTTAGCAAGATAGCAAAAGAAACCTCAAAGCTTTTAAACTTTTCTCCAGTGTGAGGCTATAGCTAAATTTCACTTATGTATGAAAGTATAACTTCTTATGTCCTTGAATAACCTAGAAAATAACACAAAGTCCTTGAGATATTATTAAAAATTCATTTCCTGATGACTCTTGATGATCCTAAATTCCACGTGGCAACTTGCTGTCTGCTCTCATAAATGCTAAATTAATTTTGACACCTAATATTTAGGACAAACTGTAGCAGAATTGCAATACTGAATACCTTAGGATGTCAAGGAAAGTGTCAGTGTGAGGCGTCAAAGGCTTACAACTTCCAGGAGAATGACCAGTAAATTACACTAACTTTGATAAATTTCAGGCTAGTGCTGTAGAGAAATTATGAAGAGTCCTACCCCCTAGCTCTGTGGCAAGCAGCCATAGCGTCCCTAAACTGCTCAGAGGAGTCAGAGTTTTCTATAAAGAATTTTTTTCTCCAAATGGCAGGTCCAATCACTGTCAGATGGGTGCTCCACAGACGGGCAGGTAGAGGCTGGAAGCCACTGTCATGACTCTCACCACCATGATTTCATTACTTAACACCTTCTACCTTTAACTGGGGATTTTAAGAGACTTTTGATCACATACTTCCAACATACAATGGCACAGGACATCCTTTACCACTCCAAAAAGGAGGAAAGAGAACATACTGATGAAATACTGGACGGAAGCAAGATTGAAAACCATTAAGGCAAAAAAATTCTACATCTATTTGTCTTCAGATCTCCAACTCCTTTCACCTTTGTTGACTACTATAACACACTTCTCTTTCTTGGGCTGTTTCCACACTGTTAGCATCTCTCCTTGGTAGGTATCCCAGGACTCTAGCATCTCCAACATCTTGGTATCCAGTCATATCTAGGCTTCACTTAAACAGTTTACACAACAGTATCTCTGGGCTTCCATTCAAGGATGCCTCTAACATATCTGTCTGGTCTCAGCAACTTTCCTTAGGACATTTTACAAGCCCTTTCTTGTATCCTTGCCAAGGTCTTCTGCTTGTTGGGGCTGGAACTTGAACCCCCATCTCCTGTTCAAATATATTCCATTTTGACTACTTGTTTATAAATTATTCATTAGCAAGCCTGTATCTTTTCACATTTCTATAAATAGTATTGACATAAAACCATAAAGTAACATAAAAGAAAGTTTATTCAAAGTTTAATGTGAGTGAGGCATCTTCGGTCAGGAGCAGGGATTCACCATGCCTTGAATGATATGTTCACTGTAAAGGAGGCATCTGAGCTTCTAGAAGCACAGAACAAGAGTTGCAGATCAATGCATTGACCAGCTGCACTGGGAGGGCATCAGGTATCTGGGATAAAGTATGACTGTGAAACTTCTTCGCAGATTTCCAGATGTTGTATCATTCTTAGCATTAAGATTAGTGGAGTCTTGAGTCTGTGAGGCTTAAAGGTCCCATCTAAAAAGACTGTCTGCTAGAAGATTGTTAGGCCAGATGTCTATTAAAGGCTGCAAATGATTTTGATTCTCAATTTATGTTCCATCTCTCCACAATGTTATGCTGTTTGCAGAATCTTTAAAGTAAACAAAACTCCATCCAAGAATTGCAGTTCACAGTTGTAACACATATATTCATATGTTTACTTTAAATATCTGTATTTTTCACTTATATAATCATATGCCAATTTCTTTTGTTTAAAAAAAAAATAAGTCAGAGTCTGGCGTTGGTGGCCCAAGCCTTTAATTCCATCACCCAGGAGGCAGAGGCAAGCGGATCACTGTGAGTTCCAGGACAGCCTGGTCTACAGAGCTAGTTCCAGAACAGGTTCCAAAGTAATACAGAGAAACACTGCCTCAAAAACAAACAAACAAACAAAACAACAATAAAAAATTAAGTCAAGGCAGGCACATATCCAGCACTTGAGAGATGGAAGTCGAGGATCAGGAGTTCAAGGTCCTCCTCACATACTTACAAAGTTTAAGGTCAGTTTGGGCTATGAAAGAATGTGTCTCAAAGGAAAAACAAAGGGGGAAAAAAAAAACATTTGGTAAGCTTTGGATCTTTTATCTCCTTGTTTTAAGTGGCAATGAAAGACCCGCGGAGGGTGTGGACCCTCACGCCCCAACTCAGGAAAGGCGACCCCCCCCCCAAAAAAAAAAATCACTCACGAGAAGCGGACTTGATGCAAAAGCATGAGGTCTTTTATATTCCAGTGCACTGGGGTCCACAGCCATACCCCATGTGGGGTAGAGGACTGGGAACCCTGGGTACAGGGTTCAGACAGCTTTTATAGGGTTACAACAAAGCCCGCACATTACAAACCAATCATCTCATAGCATCCAGTGTGGACCAATTAATTTGAACTATCCAAGCCCGTGCTTTGCCCAGGAAGTCTGCTTTTGCTAGGGCTTCTGGGTAGTGTGACATGGCTCATTTCCTGTTCTCATTCACCCACAGGTGCTGTCAGTAACCCGCCCTGTCAAGAATGACCTTTTGACTACTCACTGCTAAGGGGCAGAGTCTAGGGAAAATTAGGCTAAATTTTTCCATCCTTACAGCAACTGGTGACAAGTTGATATATATATATATATATCAAATTGAAAATTATCTTTGAAAACTCACTTTCGGGACACTCTTCGACTCAGCAAATAAATATTGCCTTATCAACACAAGAGGGAGACAATTTTCTTCTTTGGCTCAAATGCAAAACAAAGCCAAAGTTAAGGTGTCATTGATTTATACGGGAGCTATTTTTCTGTTGGTCAAATGACCAAAGATTTTAAAACTTGCTGGGTGATTCGGACACAGAGCTAAGTATTTTTCTAAGAGCTAATTGTTCAGTATTGGAGAAAAACAACAGATGCAGGCGAAACAAACACACAGTTGAGGCGGGGCGGCTGAAGAGCAACAGGTGAGCCTGGGTCTTCCGTGTGCAGGGGTAGGGACGTCTCAGCACCGTATAGCCCAGCACTTAGGAGTGCTCTCTCTCACCAAGGGCACTCCAGCCGGGGAAACCAAGCTTGCGGAAACACAGGGACCGCGTCCAGGCTTTGGCGTGGTCTCGCATCCACAGAATCTCGCTTAGGGTCCAGGGAGAACGCTAGAACCTGGAGCTAAGGGTTGCAAGCTCCAGCGCACGGGATAGCAATCCGAGGGCTGGAAATCCACTTCTCCGCAGTTTACAGAGGACTCCGCAGGACCGCTGCGCCGCGTGGTTGGCTGGCCTGTGGGCATGCGCAGTGGCCGCCCGCGGAGGTGAGGGTTTGTGTTGGTGGCGCCCTTGGAGAGGAGCGCCCTGCCGGAAGGGCTAGTGGCCAGCGTCATGTCGGCCCAGGGCGATTGTGAGTTCCTGGTGCAGCGAGCCCGAGAGCTGGTGCCGCAGGACCTGTGGGCAGCCAAGGCGTGGCTTATCACGGCCCGCAGCCTCTACCCAGCCGACTTCAACATTCAGGTGAGTCAGACCCGGCGTCCCCATCCCCACGCGCGGAAGGGAGCTTTTGGCTGAGCTGGGTGGCCCAGGGCGCGGTGCACGGCCGCTCCTCCCTCCCCAAGTCGCTCCTGTACCGCTCCACTTTGCACAGTTGACCAGCCTTCTCCCCAGCGCCTGCAGAGGCGGAGACCAAACGCTAGGTTAGGGCCCAGGCCACTCATTCATTGATCGTGGTGGTGGCGGTCTCTGTTTAGTGCCTGCTGCTCTGAAACGTTATCCCAGTTGATCCCAGAAGCCCCGGGGATGAAGTGAGCCCAGATTCCCACTCCTGAGCATCGAACCACCAGGGGTGCTTTGTGTTCAAGCTCTCCTTTCCCGTGCGGGGATTTTGGGTGAAGATCCAACTCTGAGCGGTGTTGCAGGTGAGCTGGAGCTGAACCAGCTGCCAAGGTGGTGACCCTGTCTGCCTTGTTTCAGTATGAGATGTACACCATCGAACGGAATGCAGAGAGGACTTCCACTGCGGGGCGGTTGCTGTATGACATGTGAGTTAATGTTTGGGATCCTTCCAAGACCTCTTAAGATAACTACAGTTGATAGGAGTTGGGACTCTGCATCTCTGGTACCCAGAATGCAAGCCTTCTTAATTGCCAAAACGCCTTCTGCAGAGTCAGCTTAACTTATTCTTGTATTTTAATCCCAAAATGGTATCCCCTGGTTCATTTTTTCCCCAATTACAAGCATTCGGACAGTAATTGGTAGAAAAAAAGTGAAATCTTTCTAAACCAGACTTAAGCTGTGTGTATTTCTGTGCCTCTCTATGTAAACACATGGATAAATTGGGGAACTGACAGTGAGGGCATTCTACTCTTACTCTGAAGCTTACTTCCATCATGCACTGTGATGGACTGTCTATGTCTACTTTATAGAGATGGGTTCTGTTCTTCATTCACAAGTAGCACTCTCCTTTCTTGGTGCACATTTAGTTTCTAGTTATTTTAAATTATGATTAGAATGTTGATAATTCTGTAGTTGTATTTTGGTGTCTCTGATTTGTGGCTAAAGGATATGTGTATTTTATCACCTATTAAATTACTCTCTAAAAGGGATAACCTAAATATCCATTTCTACAAAAGATATGTGAGAATGCCAGTTTTCCACACTCTCACCAACCTTTATATGACCATCTCTATCTCCTTTTCTTTTCTTTCTTCCTTTCTCAGCCCCCCTTTTGTTATTTTCTTTCTTTCTCTTGGACCAGAGGAGTCTCACTTTATTGGCCAGGGTGGTTTTGAACCCAAGACTCACATGTCCCACCTGCCCTAGCTCCCTTCATAGCTGAGGCACAGGCTAATATACCATTACACTAGGCCTGTGTCACGAGGGAAAATCATATCTTACTGTGTTGTTTCTTAAGTTTGTGCCCCTGATGCTACCAACAGTGTTGAGGATCACTGCAGCTGTTCTGTTTGGTGATTTAGGGTCTGTGATTTGCCATTTTTTGTTTTGTTTTGAGTATTACTTGCTCTTTTTTTTTTTTTTTTTTTTTTTTTCTGTGACTGGTAGAAAGCAACTTGGACAGGAAGGGTGTATTCTGACTCAGGTTTAAGGATACAGTCCATCTTGGTGGGGAAAGCTTGGCAACAGGAGCTGGTGCATGCAAAAGATGAATGATGGCGCTCAGCTTGCTTTTGTTTTCTTTTTTTCTGAGACTAGGTCTCATGTATTCCAGATTGCTGTGGGTTCAAATTTGTCAAAAGTAGCTGAAGATGACCTAGAACTTCTGATCCTCTTGCCTTTACCTCTCAAATGACAAGCATTCACTACCACATATGGTTTATGGGGCACAGGGATAGAACCCAGGGCTTTGTGCATGACAAGAAAGCACTCTACCCTCAGAGCTACATCCCTAGCTCCTCATTTGTACAAACATCTAAATACTTTGAGTATTCACAATTGTTTTAACTAATAGATTGTTTTTGTGATTTGTTTTGGTTTATTCTGATGTATATAACCATTTACCTAAAGAAAGGTGATTGTCCCTAAATGCTGATATTCTTACTTTTTTTGAATCTGACATCTTACTTTAATGCATTCATTTTAAAAATAGGTTTGTGAACTTCCCAGACCAGCCAGTGGTATGGCGAGAAATCAGTATCATAACATCAGCACTGAGGAACGATTCACAGGATAAGCAAACCCAGTTTTTAAGGAGTGAGTACAATAACAGTCAAATAGTTTATAAATGACCACTTCTGCAATGTCATATCTGTCACAGACATCTCAATCACACCTGTCATAGTGGTATCCACATTGTGTTTTATTCCAGGCAATGGAAGTTCACAGTGGTGTCACTTGGTCCCTTCAGAATTTACTTAGAACACATTAAGTGTCCTTATGGGATGGTAGTCTGTTGGTGAGATCAGGAGACTGTATTTTGGACATGTTTTGAAATGACCAGAAAACATCTATAGAAAAACCAGGTCTTTGCAAAATAGAAAAATGTCAAGCTTATGTGTTGGTTGCTATAGCCAATCAAAGACCTCCAATTCTAGATAATTAGCAAGCAGATGGTTTTGGTCATTTCAACTTAAGCAAGTTCATGTAGCTAGCTCTGTGGTGATGAATTCCACAGGTTGTCCTTGCCCCCTGGATCATCAGGCTTCCAAATTTTCATGATTATTCCACAAACAGCTTACACCAAGTACTCTGCAGTTCAAAAGTCTGCTAGTGTGCAGGTGAATTCTGCATGTTCACAGTTTTATGAATGGAAAATACCTTGCATACTTCTTTGAGGTAAACATTTTCTTTGTGAAAAAAACTTTGTTCACAGGCTTATTTGAAACTCTCCCGGGCCGGGTCCAGTGTGAAATGTTACTGAAGGTGACAGAGCAATGCTTCAACACATTGGAACGATCAGAGATGTTGCTATTGCTTCTGAGGCGCTTCCCTGAGACAGTTGTGCAACATGGGGTAGGGTTGATGCTTCCCCTTTCTTAAGAAAAGACAACACTTGCTTACCAGTTGATCCCTTGAATCTCATTACACATTTCTAGAAGTCGTTATCAACCTAAGGCTGTAGTCCTCGAAATTTTGACAGTGGTATCCAGTAGAAAGTCACCTATTTCCATTGTGTTTGGCAATGTGTTTGAGTTTAAGTGAGAGTCAGATGGCTCAGTGGGAAAAAGTGTCAAGCCCGAAAACTGAATCCCATCCCTCAGTCCCACATGATGGAGGAAGAAAACGGATCACAGAAAGTTGTCCTCTGACCTCCACCTGAGAGCCATGGCACATTCTTCTCCCCCATAAATAGATAAATTGAAAATAAATAAGATAAGAGTCATAGTTTATGACTTTAACGATAAATCTTCAAGTGTTCCTGCCTGCAAACCCTGTTGTGCTGTCTAATCTGTCAGTTCTCTAAATCTGTGAACACTAGTGAGTGCTTTTGGCAAGTGTTGGTAGGTTAGTGTTTGGTACCTGTAGAAACTGAATTCTGAATGTTTAGTGACTTACTGTACCTGCGGATAGTCATGATTCAAACAATTGGTTCTTTTTATTCAAAGTCTATTGTTTACCTCTTCCCATGTCATTTTTCTGGTGTCTGACCTAGCTAACTTTTTCCATACTTTTATTAGTTTTCTATGTCTGTCATTACAGAGCACAAGCAGTAGGGTATTTTCCCACATTTCTGAAAAACTACAATTCTAAAGTAAGGTATAGATGACAAGCAGAAAGAATACTGTTTCTTCCTATGTTTCTTACATTGCGCAGTTAAGTGGTTTTTATTTTTAAACAGGTTGGCCTTGGGGAAGCATTGCTAGAAGCCGAGACAATTGAAGAGCAGGAGTCTCCAGTTAACTGCTTCCGGAAGCTATTTGGTAAGAAACACTGTATTGTGTATTATTTCTTTGGGGTAAATGGAATATCTGGGATTGTCATATCAGGGGTAAGGTCACTTGTACACAGCATAGGAACTTTTTATGTTTTGAAATTTAATCCTGCCTTTAGCTGTAAAGCATTTAAAATAGCTCTTAATTGTGTATTATTTGTTGCCTCTGATAGGATTATATAGGATGTGTGTATGTATGAAGCGCAAATATGGACACTCCAGCCTCCTCCCAGGGCCAGCAGATCTCTAGCCATGGTGTCAGATCCACAGGCATATTTCCTCTATGAACTGGAAAATAAATTAGTTTCTGTCAGAACCCTAGTACAAAAAGTTGAACAGTTTATTTTCTCCTTTCAACAGTTTGTGATGTTCTTCCTCTAATCATTAACAACCATGATGTTCGATTACCTGCCAATTTGTTATATAAATACTTGAACAAAGCAGCTGAATTTTACATCAACTATGTCACTCGGTCCACACAGTTGGAAAATCAGCATCAAGGTGAGTGGGATCACCCCACACCTGCTCAAACTGGCTTTCTCCTTTGCTATATCGATTATCCTTCTCTGGATGTGTATTAGTTTGATAGTTTTCCTCAAAGATGCCTCTAGGATGGAAAAAAAGGTATATAATTAGGAGTTGAAATAGTCCAGTTCTTAAACATCATACAGTTTACCTTGAATGCCACACAGGTGCCATAGTCAGAAGCCACTTTGGACAGCCACCAATCATGAATCCTTGAGCAGAGTAGCACAGTCATCTTACACATGTGCTATGTACCAAGCCACATGATATAACCCACTCCTTAAGTCTATATGGTATTACCTAGTAACCATAGGCTCCTTGAACAACCAACCCCCAAATCATGACACAGAGACTTATTGTAAATTATGAAAGCCCAGCCTTAGCTTAGGCTTGTTTCTAACTCGCTCTTTTAACTTAAGTAAACCCACTTCTATTAGTGTTGGTACTTCCATATGGCTCATGGCTTTTACCTCTCCTCCTGCATGCCCTGCTTCATCTCTGGTGTCTCTTCAGTGCCAAGATTCATCCCGTCTAACCTCTTCCTGCCTAACTGTTGGCCATTCAGCTCTTTATTAAACCAGTCAGAAGGCACCTTGGCAAAGACACATCTTCACAGTGTCTACATAAAAAGGAAAGGTTTTAACTCTAACACAGTAAAACTATATACAATAAGAAAGTTTTCAAGTAAGAATTACATTTGCAATGCCCAGACCATATGCAGTTGGAAAATTTGGAGGAATATCTTTTTAGACCTTAAAACATTTTCTTAAATAAACAACTTAAGTTTTTATATCTCTCAACCTTTTACATTTTATATGTCTTTTTAAGTTTCTTTTCTGAATTTGCTAACAAAGAAAACTGTAACTACAACTTTCTCATCTTCAACTCTAATAGAGAACCAAGAAGGATAAAATATTACTTGAGTAAACAGGAAGTACAGAGCAAAAAACTAACAAAACTAAGAGACAACAGGTATCTGGCTGCCTGGGACAGTCACCACAAGGTTCCTCTGTAGCAGGTCTAAAATATGACAGACTTTTCTGTGGAGCAGGAATTTTGAAATACTGTCTTACCTTGTCTTGGCAAAGGCCTTGTCTTTGGCAATGGCTGTTCTTTGTGTCCTGCTTGTCTAGTTTGTACAGCAATCTGTCAGCAGCTGAGGCAAGTGTAGTTTCTTTGCCCAGTGGGTAACCTCTTGCCACAAATAAAAGCAACTCCATATGGAGGTTCCTAAATGCCCATCATCCTTCTATGAAGTAGATTGAAGCTACCAGAAGTAGACGTGCTTCACTGTCATGAAAAGCCTTAGGTTATTAAAATGTCATAATGTCATATTCTGTAGGTCTCTGACGTGTTTGATGAACATCTATCTCTGTTTGGCCTTGGAAGCATACCTAACATGACTATAAGTTTAATTGTTATAGATGAATAACTCTAACCTGTCTTCCTTTATTATTCTGTATAGCTTTTAAGAACTAAAATTTTTTTGCGTTTTTGAATGAGCTTCATATATACAATACCTTAAGCAAGAATAGAAACATATACAGTATAACAAAAATAACCTTAAATTTGTATCGGTATACAAAAATCCATGACAATGTAAAATGTTTGAGACTAGTAGTTATTTAAAAGTAAACTCAACAATCTACCCTTTTATCATATTTCTGTACTATATCCCACCTTTTTCCCTTCAGAAAGAGATCCCTGAATCTCATCTTCTTCGTTGAGCTTTCTCCTTGACTATGACTATAACCAACCTTCCTTCCAAATGATGACAGACATCCATAACCCGCCAAACGACCAAAAACTACCCACCCCACCTCTTGGGACTATGGGTATCATATTCTCTAGACTTCTTCCTGTTTTCTGGGGGCGATGGAATCTTTAGGGAACCCTGAGGAAAACTGAGATGGTCAAGTCCTGGGAAAACTAGCCATTACATTTTTTGTTCAGTCTCTGTGTAATGGGAAAGTGCAAGGCTTTGCTACATTCATGAAGAGAAAAGTCTATGGGGCTGGACCATCTTGGCCAGCAGCCTTAAAACTGTTCTGGATGTAGAACTCTGAGGACACTGCAACAGAGACACTCTGAGAGACTTTATCACCTGGGCCACCCAATTTCATTGGTGTCTCATCCCCTTGCTTGAAAACACAAACTTTCAAAGGTAACATACATATCTACATTAACATAAGTATGGACTGTGCATTGTACACAAGCCAGCCAAAGATGTCTTTTGTTGGCCTTTTGTGTTGGAACAGGCAAAATACACATCACTTGTCTTGTAGAGGTTTCTTGTTTTGTTTTGTTTGGGTGGGGGTTTTAGGTTTATTTCTTTATGTCTATAGCCAGAATTTTGAGGGGGTTTCCCCTTGTCAAACCTGATCTCTATTAACCTTGAATGAATCCACAGCCTTTCGTTTTCTGGAATAGCATAACCTCTTCCCCAAAGCAATACATTTTCTGACTTCCATTTTAAGGTTAAGGATTCTTAAAGTATCTAGACTGGTTTCATTCAGCAATTTCTGTTACAATCCCATGTCTCATAGAAGCTGTTGTTTGATCATCAGCAATTTAAAAATTCAAAGTCAACAAGACACCTATAGGATCCAAACTCCCTATGTATTTTCCATCTATATGTGACTTACCCTTTTATTTTATCTTTAAAGACTTTATTATTTATAAGCTGTTTTTTTCTGTGACTGTCTCTCCCCTCTTGCCCCCTTTTTTTTTCTTTCTCAAGCCTATATACATTTTTTTTTTTTTTTTTTTTTAAATACACTGTAACCTGTATAGGTTTTTGTTTTTGTTTTGTTTTGTTTTCCTGTCTGGATCTGTCTTTACTGAGTACCTGCAGTATTCTCTGACTATGTTAGATAAATCTTAAACTGCCATGTCAGCTGCTGCATGGCTCAGCTTAGTGCACAGAGCTGATGGCTGGCTCCAGCCCACAGGCAGCAGCTGGTAGCCATTCCTCTATATGCCATGGAGCACTACCCTTCCTGAGAGCCTAAAGGACTAGGAAGCTACATTCATCTCCTTGTCCAGAATTTTTCTCTGCTTTCTCAGGCCCTGTATTTGGATATTAGAGCCCCCATATTGGATGTCATATATTGTATTTTTCTTTGGGCTACCATCTCACAAAAAGCAATATGGAAACTTATTAATTATGAAAGCTTGGCCTCTAGCTTAGGCTTGTCCCACTAGCTCTTGTAACTTAAATTAACCCATTTGTATTAATCTGTGTTTTGCTTCATGGCTTTTTACCTCTTTTCCATCTTGTACCACCTATTTCCTCTCTGTGTAGATTCATCTTCTCTTTTTTTCTCTCTGCCCAGTTCTTCCTAACCTTTCCCTGCCAAGCTATTGTCAATTTAGTTCTTTATTAAACCAATCAGAAAGCACCTTAGCAAAGACATACCTTTCACAGTGTAAAAGGATATTCCTCAGTACAGTTACTCAACTGAATACTGTAGGAAACCCTTAGCACATGGTATATGTGTATCTCAGCATTCCTAAACAGAGACTGTATAGTAAAAACATTGTATAAGAAACCAGTTCATGGCACTTGCCATCCACAGTGCTTGTAGGACCAAAAATTGACTGGGTGTGACAGGGTTCAGTGGAAGTATAGGGCTTGATTCACTGCATGCTGCTGTGGGCTTACAATTACTGTAGACTCAAACGACATAAAATCTATTAAAATTTTTCTTTCTTTATTAATAAATTACTACTCTAACTTTCAACTTTTTGATATTTTTGAAAAACTGATTCTTTTTACTTAAAACATACTGCTTAATTAGGAAAATTGTGTCTTTATAATATTTTCTCTAAAAATTTGTTTTTATGTTTTTTAAACTTTGGTTGGAGTGGGGGTTGTGGGAGGAATGTGAAGGGGGAAAATGATGTAATTATATTTTAATTAAAATTTTAAGAATTATGGAAAATAAAGCTAACACCAAAAAGGAAAAAGAGAGAGTGAGAGAACCACCCAAAACTATGTCCCTCACTAACCAGCTCTTCTTTAAAAACAACAAAGCATAAATGTGCCATGATTGGCACCTGAACTGTCCTCCACCCCAGGTCCTGTCCCCCTGGGTCTTTAGCCCCTGGTACACTAACTGGCCAGATCCTTCGTGAAGGGCCTCCCTGGAGTGCTTAGGGGACTGTCACCTTCTCGGACTGTGCCCTTAGTGCTTTGCTGGGTTATTTTTTTTTTTTTTTTTTTTAACCTCTGATTTACCTCTAAGCATTCATGGAACTCTGCTCTAATGAGGACCTTTGGGTATTGGTCTCTGGTTCCAAATTTTGTGGGGGCATTGAGGCGTCTACGATCTTCACTGTGAACTGTCCTGGGGTTGTTCATCTTTTCTGTAGCTGATAAGAGGAGCTTTGTAGTTCCCACGTGACCTTATAGGCCCCAGTTGTGTAAGCAGCTATATCATTGAGGAGACCCCTTTGAGGGCCCTGTGGGGCTAATGTGCCAGTCAGTACTTTGCCTTTTGAGTGAGGATTTAGATGTTTGTTTCCTAATCTAATGCCACATATATAAGTAGCAAAAATTGTAGCTTGAATGGTTTTTGTTTGTTTGTTTTTTAATACTCCTATGAGTTTTTTTCCCCTATTGTGATGTATTAGGTCAGTACTTTTGTTTTTTGAGTGAAGATTATTTTTTTCTCTCTCTCTGTCAAGTGCCATATAAATAAGTAATGATACTAATTGTAGATTCCTTTTTCTCACATCTCAGGTGCACAAGATACATCTGATTTAATGTCACCCAGCAAACGTAACTCTCAGAAGTACATAATAGAAGGACTGACTGAGAAATCATCCCAGATTGTAGACCCTTGGGAGAGGTTGTTTAAGATTCTCAATGTTGTTGGAATGAGATGCGAGTGGCAGATAGATAAAGGGAGAAGGTAAGGAATAGTTTATTTCCAGAATTGCTTATTAAATCCTTGGTTGTGTCATCTCAGAATCCTTGTAGAAAACAAACCATTAAAAAATAAATCAGTATCATGCATAGATACAATTCTTTGGGGGGATGGGGATTTTATTATAGTCACCATTTATGCAAGAGAAGAGGGTACTTTTTCATCTCATGCAAAGATTCCTACTGAAAGGTGAACTTCCGAAATGGTATTGAGTGGGGCTGGAGAGAGTGCCTGGTGGATAAAGTGCTTGCTGCACACGCGAGGGAGGAACAAGACTAAAGCTGGGCAGTTGGACAGCTGTCTATGAGGCAGAGCTGGAACTCTTGGAACAAGCTGGCCATCTAGACAAGCTTGAACTGGATTGTTCTGGTCCAGTGAGAGCTCTCTTCTCGACAAATAATGGTGAAAGTGATGAAGATCAGCTTCACATGCACACGCACTTACATGACTCCAGCACCACCCATCTACTGTGCCACACCTCAGTGAACACACCAGTGTGCATGTCACTGCTCCACAAGTAATTACCTGTTATTCTTTTATTTGGGCATTCATGGCCTTCCTTAATCTACCTTCATTTGGTGCCCAACAGGAAGTCCACGAATGCCCAAATAAAGAATAACAGATATTTATTTGGGGAACACTCACACAGTGAAGATAAATAGCTGCTGCGATCCTCTGACCCTGGAGCCCTTCAAAGTGCAGGGAGAGAGAGAAAGCCAGACCTCGCCTCTGTCTGTAAACCAGCCACACCCTGAGGCCAGTACCTCAAATCTATTGATGGAATAAGTTGGCACTACATCTATCTCTTTCTCTCTCTCTATCTCTCTCTCTCTCTCTCTCTCTCTCTCACACACACACACACACACACACACACACACACACACATTAAAATAAAGAATGCTGAGTGTAGTGGTGCACACGTTTAATCCCAGCCCTGGGGAAGCTGAGACAGGAGGATCTCTTGAGTTCAGTAGCCAGGACTTTACAGAGAAACCTTGTTTCAAAAAATCAAAAATAGTAAAAAATAAATAAATGTAGAAAGAGATGATGCTGAGAGCTTGATTCTGTTTTATTTGTGCAGAGAAAAGAGAAGTTAACTTGGCATACTTCTGTCATGAGTTTGTCTTTGTTCTTAGCTCCAATAAAGAATAACTTTAATAGGAATAAACATGTCTCATAAGAACTTAAGTGGCTAGCACAATGATAAAAAGATGAGAAGCAATAAATCCTTGGGATGGAAAAAAACTAACACTGAACTATTGATAGGACTGTAAATAGTTCAGCTATTATGCAAAATAGTGTGTGGCTAGAACAATGATAAAAAGATGAGAAGCAATAAATCCTTGGGATGGAAAAAAAAAAACTAACACTGAACTATTGATAGGACTGTAAATTAGTTCAGCTATTATGCAAAATAGTGTGTGGGGTCCATAAAACTGATCTTAATCTACCTTATAATCCAGCATATCAAAGAGACAGCTGTATATTTATATTGGTTAATAACTGTTTTCAATAGCAATAATATGGAATCAATCTAGATGCCCATGAGTGGATAAAGGACCTGTGAGTGATATAGATATATTACAATATTATTTAGCCATAAAGCATCGTATTAGGCAAAATGGATGGGCCTAGATAACGTAATTGAAGTTAGACACAGGGAGGTTCATCATGTTCCCTCTCACATGGAGGTCATAATGCCATTTACAGTGTAGAATGGTGATTGATTGGGCCTTTGAATGAGATGGGGAGGAAAGTAAGGAAATATTAGCTAGCATATCCCAATATAATTGTTACAGAAAAATAACTCCTGGTGTTCTGTAGGATGGAAGGTGGTGGTTCATGGTAACTTACCTTGTGTGTGGTGCTGAGGTTTGAGCCCAGGTTCTTGCTCATGCCAGGCAAATTCTCCACTGTTGATCCACAGCCTCAGCCCTATGATAGCTTACTTTATACTTAATTTACATAATTTAAATTGGAGGAGCTTCAAGTTTCCAAACTAATGGTATGAAGGCAGGAAATTACCTAAGGGCTAGGCCCGGTGGCACACACTTTTAATCCTAACACTCAGAACAGGTAGATGTTCCAGGCCAAGTTGGTGTACATTTAGACCAGCCAGGACTATAATAGTAAACCCTGCCTCAAAAAGAAACTTAATTGCCTGATTTTAATCTGCATATAGTACACATGTATTAAAACATTACACTGGTAATTTGTGAATATATGTAATTTTTTTAATGTTTAAGAAGCTAGAAATGTTAATTACCCTGATTTTTATAATATACTATATTAGAATACCACAACATATATGAATTTACATTTAGAATCATTTTTAAGGGGCTGGAGAGGTGACCCCTTAGTTAAGAGCACTGGCTGATCTTCCAGAGGACCCTGTTCAATTCCCAGGATCCACATGACAGCTCACAAGTGTCTATAATTTGACCCCTTCACACACATACATGTAGGCAAAACACCAATGCACATAAAATACTTTTTTAAGCTTCATTTTATTTCGAAGCACAGAAGTTCACATACCCAGATATCTGCTGCCTGGTAAGTTCGGTGCTTCTCCCAGAGCATGTCTTCCTTCCTCCCACTGACAGGCAGTAAGGTGCTTTTGTTCCCTCCCCCTCAGAAGCTGTAGCGACATGCTGCACCGGATGAAAGAGCTCTGCAGGTACATGAACAGCTTTGACAGCGAAGCTCACAACAACTATAAGAACCAAGTGCTGTACTCCACGATGCTAGTCTTCTTCAAGAGTGCATTCCAGTATATCAGCAGCATACAGCCATCTCTCTTCCAAGGTTAGCTCACATGTTCCTCTGTGAAACCAAAGTATCAGGGTAGTGCCAACAAGGAGACAAAAGCAGTGGTCGACCACTGCTGTGGGAGAATAAAGTTGTAAGGCACTACCAGTGCTCTTTGTCATCGATAACTTAATTTGGTTTGAATTAAGCTTTTATGTAAGTATTTCTCACTGGGAATTTCTGTATTAAGAAATTTAGTATTAGAAAACTAAATAGGGATACTGAATACCTCTGTTTGAAAAAGTAATCAATGCTTTGGAGGGTGAGAAAGGAGGATAAGGAGTTTAAGGACAGCCTTGGCTACATATTAAGTTTGAGGCCAGGCCTGGGCTACACATACGATCCTCTCAAACAAACCAAAAACACAAAATCAAAAAAAAAATTCTAAAATGCGGATTTTATGAAGACAATACAATAGACAAAGACTTATGTAAACTGTATATTGTATGTATTGCATGTTGACCTATGATTTTTCATATGTTCTGTGTTTATTTGAACTATATAGTTATGATATATGTATAGTATTCATGATCATTTTGTACTTCATGGTTATTGTTTAAACAGAGATGCATAAGAACAAATGCAAAGAAGGAACAATCATTCATTCTCAACACTTATAAACGATTTGGTATCAATTCATATGGCCTTTCTTCCCATGGGGTGTATGTTCTTGTTGACCTAGTCAGGGTCACACTGGGTATATTTTTTTATGAGCTTTATTTCCATATGGCACTTGACCTACTTCCTGCTCATATTCACTACTCTCTCTCTTACTTTATTTCTAATGTCTGTGTGTCCTCCTTTGTGTAGGTCCTAATGCCCCCAGCCAGGTCCCACTGGTTCTTCTGGAAGATGTAGCCAATGTGTATGGTGATGTAGAAGTTGATCGCAGTAAACACATACACAAGAAGAGGAAACTAGCTGAGGGGAGAGAAAAAACCATGGTAATCCTTTCCACTTAATTACTCACAGAATGTGTCATTTGCCAGAGATGAAACTTTGCAAAATGTGGTTTTGGAGCTAAAATAGTTAAACCATAATTAAGTGTAAGCTAGTTGCCTTAAATAGAGGAAGTTTTGCACCCCTTCTGACTCACTGGTCCATTTGACAATGTCTGGAAACATTTTTGATTGTCATAGTTATGCTTCTGTGAGGAGAGATTGATAATTGTCATCTGGTGGGTAGAGGTCAGGGATAGAGCCAAACATCTTAAACCATATAGAACAGCCCAGCAGCCCGAGGGTGTCCAGGTCTACAAACTGCGTTTTGAGTTACTTAACCATGCATGTTTTGACTGGTGAGTATTGATTAAATTTACAAAACCATCTGGGAACTGTTGGCTGGAATAGGATGCTGTGGTGGTTGTTGGGAAGGGCAGCCCGCTCAATCCCACAAGATACAAGAAGAGGTCTCCACTTAGCCTCACTGAGGAGCTCATATCATGTGCCTGGGAGCTGATCAAATTGTGGTCCTCTCCTAGGCATATGAATATGTGTGTTCCCTTCAGTTATAACTGTTGCATCAGAGCCCCTTCTCAGAGCTTCAGTGGCCACGGGAATTTCTCAAACTTTTGCAAGCTGTTTGGAATGCCACAGTATCTTCCCTGAAAATTGGGGTTCTTTGATAAGTGACCTTATTTGGAAGCAGAACTGGCTTTCATAGATTGTGACACTACTGACCTCACATTTACAATAGTAAATTGGGTCTTAGTTCACTACTGCTTGGTATGACTCTGATGAAATCAAATGTTCAGTGGATTGCTGCGGTGGACAAATGTAGTAGGGTAGATTCTCCAGGTATAAGAGGAAGCAGGAGGACACTGTGGTCTGCAGGCAGGAAGGAAGGCTGTTAGAAGGGAGGTGCCTGGAACTGAAAGCATAGCTCAGTGGTTAATAGCACTTGATGCTCTTCCAGAGGACCCGAGGTCAGTTCCCACCACCCACATCAGGCCAGTCATAACTATCTCACTGTAGCCATCTGAGAGCACCTGCGCTCACTAGCAGGTACTCACATGCAGAATGCACTTACACATAATCAAAAACAATGAAAATAAGTCTTTATGAAAGGAGGCATCCAAGGCAGAGTGTCCCAGGTGAGATCAGCTGGTGCTGAAGTGCTTCACTGAAACCCCTGTCCATACTGTAATGACTTCAGTGTGCTGAAAGCTAGGGCCCACATACCTGGGGCTGTGGGCATGACAAAGAGAGTTGGGTACAATAACTGATTGAAGAAATTTTTGACAGTATGAAGCTCAATGACCTGTTTCACCTTGACTATTTTGAAAGCATCTCTAGACATGCCCAGTGACATTTATGACAGTGACCTTTCTCTGCATCTCTCTTGTTTCTTTTGCTTTGTATGACATGAAACGAAGAGTAGAAGTCTGAACTGTAAAAATCAGAGGGCATTCCATACTCACACCTCAGCCACAGAGCTGACGATGGTATGTGTGTGGCCCTGGGCACTCACAGACTGCTGCTTCTTATGTCTTAGGGAACTCAGACTTCTGTTTATTCCACTGTTGTGAAGAACCAAATCAATGTCACAAATTAAGGAAATGAGGAGAAACTAAAGTGAGTGCCACTCACACTTTGATTAAAATGATGTGTTTTAAACTTGTAAGAAACCAATAAACTTAATTTTAAAGGTGCAACTTGACAGCATGAGAATGTTGAGATGAAAACCACATATTATTGATCCTTGGAGATCAGTGTTAAATTGGAAAAGCTATGGCACGAAAGCCGTAGAGGACAGAGTCCAGAGCAATGTCTAAATAATGTTTCATCACCTTCAGTGAACCATGCTCTTCCCATCCCACAAGCAGAGCTCAGATGATGAAGAATGTTCAGCAAAAGGAAGAAACCGGCACATTGTCGTCAGTAAAGCTGAGCTCAGCAACTCCATTGAAGTGCTGGAGAGCTTCAAACTGGCCAGGGAGAGCTGGGAGCTGCTCTACTCCCTGGAATTCCTTGACAAAGGTGAGCATGTGCTTGTCATTGATACCATTTAATCATATAAAGTCTACTCTAAAAGATCTTTGTGGTATTTAAAATGTCAGCTCTCATAGCTTATTGAATCAGCTCTAGACATTCACTCATTTTATAGGATTCTTTTTGTTGTTGTTTTCAATCAGGAAATCTATATAATTAGCTGTTCATCTCTGACTTCCTCTTATACCATCAGGGTTGGTCAGAGTGGGAAGGACAGCATTTGGTGTTTGTCCTGTCCCTTCTTGTTCATGCTCTATTTCTCTTCTCCCTCAAGCTGCCTGTGTTCTGCAGTACAGAAGGCAATGTGGCCTTTGGCTGCTCTCAGCTCTGTTGCCTTGGAAGTGGAGAAAGCCTGTTTTTCTGTTTTTGTTTTGGGACAGGATCTCAATATGTAGCTCTGGCTGGCTGTGTAGACCAGACTGGCCTGGAATTCAGATCCTCCTGAGTCTGCCTCCCAAGTGCTGGGGTCAGAAGTATGCACCAGCTCACGTTTTGAATGAAGACATTAACAATTCATTTGCCTGCTTTCTAGGCCTGAATCTCCTCTTTGCTAACCAATGGTGTTTTCTGTCCTGTGAAATCCGTGCCCATTAATTTCCTGTTAGGCTGTAAGCATGCATCTTTGGCCTCCTGTCACATGGCCAGACAGCCCCTTGTCAGATGTGTTATCTTTTATAAGGGAATAGAGCCTGTTTCTTTTGTTGGTTTATTGTGAATCTTTGAGTATTTGGAAGAAATTTTCTTTACTCATAAATCAACCTTTTTTTAAAAAGATAAATGGGCAGCTGGGACTACATAAGACCTTATCTTAAAAAACAATACAAGATGCATGGAGTAATGCGTGGAAAGTGTAGTTTTGGCATGTAATACATGCTTACAAATGATGGTGTATAGAGTCCTTCTTATGGGTTGGTGAGATGGCCCAGTGAGGAAAGGTACCTGCCCACAGGCCTGATGACCCGGGAGCCACCTGGTGGAAGGAGAGAACCAACTCCTACTGGTTGTGCTGTGACTCCACACCTGTGCCATGCTTACCTGAAGTAAATAACATGTGAAAAAGAATCCTTGCATATCAGTGCCTAACCAGGAATTCTAGAGCTTCACTGACAGTAACCCACCCATCTTTATTAGTTTGTGAGTTTTTCCCTCTGTTGCCTCTGTGTTCACCAGTTTGGGGTGAATTTGCTTTCAAATTCTCACACAGAATTTACAAGAATTTGTTTGGCTTGGAAGACGGACACCTGGCTGTGGCTAAGAATCTTCCTGACAGATATGATCATCTACCAGGTAGAGTGACAGGCATTTTCGGCTGCTGTGTCTATGCAGGGTGGGATTGTTGCAAACTGGTCTTGGCGTAAGAGGTGTGTTATGCTCCTTGGGGGCTAGTCCACAACCTATCCACATCTTGCAGCATTCTGTGGCTGTGAGATTATAGTCTATTTTCATCCCCAATTGTCTCACTTTCTTGGTGACTTCCAGTATGTCTAGTCGTTGTTCCTTCTCTTCCCTGTGTAGAGAATCAGGACCCCCACACAGCCATTTATCTCTGTCCTCTTGCACAATAAAGGTAGCATAAATACTTCTCAGTTTTCTTAATTAACAATTTTCCATTTTAAATTACCATCCAGAGTATTAGGTTTCTTTATGGCATCTAAATAAAATCTGCTTTTGTTGATCCTCCACCATCCACCTGCCCCTGTGTGCCCTTCCACCCCCCAGCAGCCTCCTTCTCTGTCACCATAAAAATTCTATGCCCCTCCCTCCCTCGCTTAACTCTCCTTTCCTCATTTGTGGTCCCCTTTCTAGTCTCATGACCTCTATCTACACTATACCCATATATAAACATTCAAAACTTGGATCCATGTAGGAGAGAGAGAATGTAATTGTTGTCTGTCTGAGCAGGGGGTTACCTAAGAAAGCAGCATTTCTTCAGAAGATGATGACCTCCTCGAGCCCTTCTTTCCTCTGCTTTGCTGCCATCCAGCAGCTACCAGATGGGGAGAACAGACAATTGCTACCACAGTGTTGGTTCTATAGAAATAATATATCTAAAATGTTCTACGTCAAAGATTCTGTGCTCTGTGTGTGTGTTAATGTCATTGTTTTTTCCCCCTATGCCTTTGTGTCTTTCCAAGGGTCAGTATAAGAAGGCCATAGCCAGTCTGCATCACTTAGCAGCTCTCCAAGGATCCCTTTCTCAGCCACCGATCACAGGACAGGGGACTTTAGAACACCAGAGGGCGCTCATCCAGCTGGCCACCTGTCACTTTGCACTGGGAGAGTACAGAGTAAGTACTGTGGTGTTCTCAAAGGCTCCATGGCACACTGAGATGTCTTCCCTGTAGTGGTTTTTCAGGTCAATGCCTGCTTCCTTAATTGACCTGTTTTACTTAATTTGCTGCTGAAAAACACAATGATCTGTTTTACTTCGTGTTTCTATAGTATAACTTCCCTGAAGTTGTGCTTCAGTGCTATTTGCTTATTCCTCTCTTTTTTGAGACAAGGTCTCATGTGTCCCAGACTGTCTTTGAACTTGCTGTGTGGTTTAAACGTAGGCACTGTATATGCTTATTAGTATATACAAATTTGTGGTAGTTTCTAACAGTGAAGAACTGGGCTTTGTTCTCGCTGTCTCATAGACTTAATCTGACTGTGTTCACTGTTGAGTACTCATCAAGAGTCACAGGAATACTGACCTCCATGCACACATGCTGTCTGCCTCTGGGCTGTAGACGGCTGTAGTCCGTTAGTACCTGTGGTTTTCTCTCCTGTAGATGACATGTGAGAAAGTTCTGGACCTGATGTGCTACATGGTACTACCCATACAAGATGGAGGGAAAGCACAGGAAGAGCCCTCCAAGGTGAAGCCCAAGTTTAGAAAAGGTACAGTGAAGTCTTGCTCTTTGTCACAGTAGTTTTATGATGGTGGCTAAGATGTGTCACAGTTCCTAGTGAGGTCACACCACACCACTATGTGCTGTGGAAAGCTCATCACTCCCGGCTGCATTCATTAGCATCTTTCTAAGCCACGTTCTGCTTCATGAGGTTGCTACTCCTGAGGAACCCTTCCCTGTTTTGCCTAGCACTAGGAAAAAGAGACTAATCAGTTTATCCCTCTGTCACCATATTCCTCTGAGGCCATTTTGAGCTTTAACTGATTTCCACATTACTTGAAAAAAACCTAATGCATAGCTAATAATCTAAATTTCCACTTAAGATTTAGAAATAGATATGCAAATTAAATATGAAGACAGTATAAGAGGGAAATACTAACAGAGCAGAATCAACACAATAAGAAAAATGAGTAAAATAAAAGGTTATTTGTGTGAAAACCTGCATAAAATTGATAAAATCCTAACACACTTCATCCAAAAGATGGCAGCCACAAATTAGCAATATCAGGAATGGAAAGGCGGTACTACAACAAATCCTGGTTACGTCAAAAGGACAATAAGAGAACATTCGTGCCAAGAAATTTAAAACATTAGATGCCATGAAAAGGTTCTTGATAAGCACAACTTATAAACAATGTCACAAAATGAAATAGAAAAGGAATCTCAGAAGGAAATTCAATGCACAACTGCCCAGCACTAGTCCTGAATTTGGACAAAGGCGCAGACCAGACCATTCCTGTGCTTCTGATCGTGAATAAATGATAGTGAAGTCAGCATTGCCAGGGAGAGCACCCCATTTCCCAGCTGTACCTCATCTCCTAGCCATTACATTTCCAAACAGGGCCTTTATCCACTGGGTGCTGGGTGCCAAACATCAAGACACTATAAGAAGCTTCTACTGTTTTTGTGATGATTGACATTGAAATCTTTACGAATTAAAGGCAGATGTTAGCATTTATAAAACTAGAGAGGAGAGGCAGGCCTAAAGACATAGTGCAGTGGTTAAATGCACATGGTACTCTTTCAGATAACCCGTGTTACATTCCCAGCACCTACATGGTTGCTTGTAATCATCTGTGACTCCAACTCCAGGGGATCCAAGATGCACTGCACACATGTGGCACACTTATATACATACAGGCTAGATATTTGTACACACACACAGAAGCTGAATGACAAGCCCATGGGGTTTCTGGGATTTCCTCTATGTAGTACTCTACAGATTTGAAAGTTTTTATAATGATTATTTAGCAGGTAGGCAAGAAAATTGAGAAATGAAATCTAGAGACCAAAACTCAATACCATCATCACATCAATGTCTGCTGTATCACGAGTTCTGTAACTGGTAGCTTATTGAGGGAGTATGTGAAACATTTGCTTGTTAAAGCTATTTTCTTTGATGATAACATTCACTAACAGTCTGGCCTGCCTTCTGTTAGGTTTGGATCTGAAGCTTCTGCCCTGTACCAGTAAGGCTATTATGCCGTATTGCCTGCACTTGATGCTAGCGTGCTTTAAGGTGAGCTTAAAATGGAATTATCAGGAAACAAATTCCCTTTGAAGTATGTCCTGATGAGCTTGCATGACTTAAGAGCTTTGTTCACAACTGTTTTGTTCTTCACCAGGCAGGTGGGACACGTTTGTGGACAAGTGCTCTTTTGCTTTTCATTTTTGTTGTTGTTTGTTTGCTTGTTTTTTAGTTCCACAGCACTAGGCACAGAAGAATAGGAAATGAGCCCCATCCTTGAGAAGGGTATGGGGAGTAAGAAGTAGGGCAGACAGGCAAATCCACTTGCCTGTTGGTATATAGTAAAAATTTTGACATTGTTGTAGTGAGATATCCACCCCACCCATACCTGTTGCACTGACCATTCGCATTAGGGTGTGGGGACAGGTGTGGGCATAACCTGGGGGGGTCTGGGGTCCCAGACCCCAGCTCACTCTCTTACTTCCTGGTCAGAGAAAGAGAGCATCTGGAGGCATCTTTGGAATGGGAACCTGTGGAGATCATCTGTTTCTGGTGTGATTTCTCCTTGAATAAATCCATCTTCCTATCGCTTCCCAGATTCTTATTTACCACACATTATATTTACTGTCTTTGTAGATAATTTTGTATTAAGCCTAAATCTTTTCTTTAGACTAAAAGGGGAATTGAAGTGAGATATCCACCCCACCTTCACCTGTCCCAATGCCCCAGTGGGCGTGGTCAGTGCAACAGGTGTGGGTGGGGTGGATATCTCACTACACATTATGTTTGTCAGAATGTATTAGCTATAGAATATTGTATAGCTATATGAATAGCTATACATGAATATAGCTGTATATGAATATGGATAGCTATATGAATATTGGGGTTATAGATGAGTTAATTTCTTTAAGCATGAGGGTCAGTGCCAGTGAAGGCCCGGTAGCACTGGGAAGCTTCTAAGACTCTTGAAAACACCACAAGCCTTGGCTGGGGTAGAATAGAACCTTGGGTGGGGTTGTCACTGTTTCAGTATGCTTGTGTGCAAAAAGTAACAATGCTGGTTGCTGCTGTATGCAATAGTCCCACACTAACTTAAGTGCTAGAGCTGGTTGGATCAAAGAAGCCATCTGAATTGTGGTTTTATGCAGCTGTCCATTTCAAACCAAACTTTTGACCTTTTCTGCAGTTCATACCCCATCACTTACTGTTTTTCTTCCTTCCCAGCCCCATTTTTTCAAGTTCTTCTGTTATGTCTTCTTTCCCATCTTTCACCTTACAATTGTTCCCTGAAAGATATCTCTAAGGTTGAGGATATGGCTCACTTGGTAGGGTACTTGCCCAGAACCCATGAGCTCTGGGTTCAATTCCCAGCACAGCTTAAATTAGATATGGTGATTCAAACCTCTAATCCCAGCACTTGGGAAATGGAGGCAAGAAGGTCAGGAGTATCTAGCAAGTGTTAGGGCCAGCCTATGATTCATAAGGCCCTGTCTCAAATAAGTATAATAGAAAAAAACAATAATGAAAAGTCCTACTTACTCTCTTCACTGTGTAGGAAACTCAACTTTCTCTATCCCTGATTCTCAAACTCAGAAACTCCCAGTTCTCCTGTTTTTGTCCAGCTCTGGTCTAAAGACTTGTCAGCTCATGTGCCGAGCCCTCCGGGAACCTGGGACTTCCCTAGAACCCACTCTCCTTAGACGGGTATGGTGTTCACCACCAGTTTTTTTGTTGTTGCTTTTTGGTGTTTTGGGTTCTTTTTTTTTTTTTTTTTTGGTCTTCGTAATAATGATTTATAGAATTTACTAACCTGTAGAGCCTCTTTTAGGAAGTGATATTTCGTATGCCCTAGATGTTTCTTCTATATAACATTTTGTCTTACAGCTGAGAGCTTTTACAGACAACAGAGATGACATGGCATTGGGCCATGTGATTGTACTGCTCCAGCAGGAGTGGCCCCGGGGAGAGAACCTTTTCCTGAAAGCCATCAGTAAGATTTGCCAACAAGGAAATTTCCAGTATGAGAACTTCTTCAGCTATGTGACAAGTATCCTTTCTCTGAATTAAGTGCACTCACATCTGAATGTTCAGCACAAGTGCATCATACAGTGTGACCCATTCTCAATAGAGATACTGCTTTTTCTATTTGTAGGAAAAGGAGGGGTGAGAGTTAGACACAGAGCCATGGCAGTTGCTTTGTGAAAGTCAGTGATGTTTCAAAGAACCAGGACTGCCGTCCACTTCTAGGTGCCTTCCAAGAAGGCAACCAAGATGCTCACAGTTAGAATAGCCTACAAGTTCTTGGCAAGCCCAGAGCAGTTGGTTTAGCATAGACTACAATAGTTCTTTGGCCTTTGTCTATGGAAAAAGTGTCCCCTGAGGCCTCTCCTTGGACAGAGGCTGCCCCTGGGATCAGTTCTTAACACTGAGCCTGCATCTTCACAGCTGCCAAAGGTTATGCTAATGAGGCAGAGTATCATGAGTAGGTTCCCCCACCACCACCAGTTAGGTCCCACAGCCAGCCGCACTAGCCCCAAATAACAAACAGAGACTCTGTATTAGATATAAAACTGTGGTCACTGACATTGCCAGCTCTTACACACACCATTCAGTTGTTAGCAGTGCTTCTTAAAAGCTTTGCGGGTTTTTTGCTGTTTATGCTGAGTCAGGAAACTTCCCTTAAAGGAGCCGCGCAAGTCTCTGCTTGTCTCGAGCAACAGAGTCCAACAGAGAGAGGTGCTGCTACCAGGAAACCTTGCTTGTGTCTGTCCTTCTGTTTCTAAAAACCTTTCTTAAGGTTTTGTTACGTTTTAAGTGGAAGTTGGACACCATTATGTTACAAGTAGGTGTTTCCTGCCTGATAGATGTAATTCTGTTGGTCTGTTACTAGTTTCTTATCGGCTGACTCTGTCTTAAACATTAATCCATTTCTATTACTCTAAGTACTTCCACATGGTCTCATCTTACCGGAGAGAGGGCCTGGCGTTCTTCTCTCTCCGTCCTCCATCTTGGATCTCCTCCCTACTACTTTCGGAATCCTCCTTGTCTCCTAGTCCCACCTATCTTGCTTTCCTATTGGCCAACAGCACTTTATTCATTATCCAATAAGAGAAACATATTTACAGAATGACATCTCCTATCAGCAGAGTTGTTTTGTCAGATGGGCAGCATGTGACTTCATGTGTTTGTAAGGGGAAGACTGCCTTAGAATTGAAGGTATACCATAGTTTGGTTGCTTTTACTTCATTGCTTCCCATAATTCTCCCAATTTGCAGAATATGTGTACTATATATGTCCCCAGTGCAGTTATTTAAAAAGAAAATAATGAAACTTATATAACTTTCCCCCAGAAGAATGCATCATCTAATGTTTCATATGGAATTTTCTAGCTTCTCGGACACTTCCTTTCTTCAAGTATCTGAATGACCTTGTCTGCTGGGTCTGAAGAAATAATCTTTCTTTTTATGACTCATATCCTGTTAGCCAGACCACCTTCCCCTCTCCTGCTGTCTCTGATTTCTAACTAAAAAAATTTCTCCCAGGGCCATATAGAATCTGTTTAATTACTTCCACAGGAAAAACCATGTGCTAATGCTTCTCAGTCGGTGGGTCTGGAGATTGATGCCACGGAGTTACACAGCCAGCCCCTGCCTGGCAGAACTTATGCAAAGTATTCTTTTTCATGGGGCAATGTGGCCAATATGAGAATCAGAGCTGACTGTGGTTGTTTGTTGGAGGGCAATCAGTGGGCTTTCCGTGGGCTGAGAGCCTGTTTCCTCACCTGGGAGAACAGGGCAACTTGTTACTTGTTGTTTGACCTGAAGGTGACTGAAGACATTGACATGCTGGAGGAATTTGCTTACTTACGAACCCAGGAAGGAGGGAAGATCCATCTGGAATTACTCCCAAACCAAGGCATGCTCATCAAGTAAGCAGATGCTCTTTTGTTTTTCAAAGCTCTGTGCCCACTGTTCATGTGCTTGCATGACTCACTTGTAAATTTCTGTACCTGTCAGAAATTTAATGGAAAGGAATCATAAACCTGGTCTCTGTTTTTGAGGGGCCACTTGATTCTGGGTGTCTTTAAAAGACTTGTATTTCTTAGCTACATTTCTGGGGGGAAAAAAATGCTGTTTAAATTGGGATATTTTTGTTTTGAAATTTTTTACTAGAGAATTTTCTATTTGCCTTTTCCTTTCCAAAATGTAGTATTTATTGCTGGTTAGACACTGTACTGGATTGGGGGAGGGGATCTACAGGATTTATATAACTGGGTCTTAAGCTCTTCTAAGCTTCATCATGGCTTACATAGCACAAAGTGAATTAGCTGGTTCTAGTGCCTCTAAAACACACCTGCCCGCAAAAAATGATTATGGGAGTGCTAGATCCCAGGTGTTCCCCTAGCCCATAGGACATTACAGGAATCCAGGTTGTCTCAAATGAAAATACCAAATTAGTGACCATTCATGATTTTTAAATAGCTCATAATTCTTGCTTCTATCCTCAGTCCTCATTGCAGTCTGGCTAATAGATTCCCCTCTGCTGTAAACGCCATGTGCAGTTTGTATATTTCCTTCTTGCTTCCTGGATATTCAGTGTGTCTGTAAGTCAGTGTCAGGTATGCCAAGAGACTGGACCCAGAGCAGGAAGAAGACATTGCTGAGACTAGAAACCTTCTCTTCCATCCCTTAGTTTTGGCAGAAGCAAGTTTCTTAGTTATCCAGAGCCATAGTCCTTTGCTCTGTCTTTGTAGAGTCATAGGGGTGTTGGAGGAGTGAGGTAAGAAGTGCTTCTATTGGATTTCTGTAACTCAGGACTTTGGCCCATGATGAGCATTCCCTCCTTACTATGCCTTACCAAGAGTAGGACCCAGTGGAATCTGTCCTATAGAACAGAAGATCCTCACCCATCTTATAAGTGATACTGTATGTCTTCAACATTTCCAGTAAGGGACTGAGGTGATGTTTAGGACTATACAAGGCCCTTTGTAGAGTGCTTTATCAGGATGTCCTAGACACTGGCCTCTCCCCTTCTCCATTGACTACTTTGACTATGGACCAAAGTCATGGGGAATAGTTACTGCACGGTTGCAAGTGTCATTAACCATGTGAGAATAGATTTTGTATAGGGACTTCTAGGTTCCAAAATTGATTTTACAAACATTTTAAGAAAGATTTTCAGTTTGTCAAAAACTCACCAGTCAAATTGTCATTATATATGTGGTCTTGGAGTCTGCAGAGGATTGCCACATGACAGAGAACTCTCAGCTGTCTATGGCAGTATGAAGGAATGATTCTACAGTCCTCAGCAGATGAACCTCAGGTTTCACTATAACTGGGCTTTCCTTCTTTCCTATATTTTCTTGATTTGAGCAGTATTACCCTGCACTTAGTCCCCAGGACTTAGAGTTTAAAGTGGGGACCTAATCATTTGCCCAGATAATGGCTCTGGAAGAGGTTGCTTGTCCAAGGAGGCATCCCTCCTGCTTCCCAGGACCTTCCACCTTGATCAACCTAACTAACTTCCTAGAACTTTCTGCACAAGTCAAGCCTCCTAAAAACCCAGGCTTGATTCAGCTTGGAAAAAGGATTAGGCATTGTTAACTAGTGGCCTGACCTTGTAGGAAATATTCTCTGAGATGTTCTCAACGTGGATTTGAAATCTGTATTTCAGTTAATCTATATCTAAATGACGCCAAGAGAATCAAACTGCGTAAGACAGGTTTGACTGACTGAGGTGTGATTAGACTCTTGAATAAAACTATCTATATTCCTTTTCCCTTTGGGTTCCAAACAAATTCTCTGAAGCCATTGCAGACCTTTTGGGTGGCCCCTCCAGATGAGTGGCAGAGATGTTGTGAGCAGTGTGCCTCTCCTCCCCTTGGGGTAAGGTTGTGAGTCCGCCCTAGTTGTAGCATCTCGGATGCAAGCAGGTACAGTACAAACACTGGGCACCTGGTGCCAGGCCAAAAGGAGGCATAAGTTCTTCGTTTGTTACATAGATATGTTGTTCTGACATGTGTTAAATTAAAGAAATGTTTCTATGCTGATACCTGCAGTACTATAGCTGCATTAGACTGGATCAAAATGGAAAAAAAAAATCTCTGGGTGATGACCGGCTAATGTGCTAAATCTTCATTACAGAATTCTGCAAAACCATGGCTCTCAGCCCTGTTTTCCCCCCGAGTTTCAAACACCCTTTCTTTATTGAAAACATTGCCAGTCCTTCTGAGTCCTCTTTGAAGGACCTTTCAGTTTGGGGCTTCAGTTCTGCTAAGACGGCTAGCCAGCGTCTCCAGGTGTGTTTCTGGGACCGGCATGGGCGTGAGAAGAGTGAGTGAGGAGGCTGGATTATGAATCATGTCTTCTCAGATGTTACCTTCCCTCCCCACTACCATCTCGTCTCTCTCTTCCCCACTGATGCCTTTTTACTCCAAATCCCAAGTGGGAAGAGCTCTGGGACCAGGAGCCAAGATGCCTCTAGACTGGCACCAGCAGTGGGTGCGGTGGGGCCCTCAGCTTCTCCCAGTCCCCCTGAAGACCCAGCACAGCCAGGGGCATGTGGAGGTTTAAGTTTCTGTACAGTCCGCTTTCCAGTCTTGTGTATCTTCTCCGGAGTGTTGTTTTGCAGTGCAGGGTGAGCTGGTGTGGGTGTTTGAATGCTGCTGTTTGCTGTTTTTTAAAGGCCTTCTAGCCCTCCCATGGGGTTACTACAGCAGGAATTCTTACCTGTGCTTCAGCCCAGCATACAGACTGCTGACAGGTACCAAGTGGAAAAACACCTGCTCATAGTGTGCTGTTTGTCAACATGTTTTCCCGCCCATGGTTTTCAGCTCTTTGTCCCTCGGTGCTCTTTTTCATGCTTTATTTATTTGTTTTTAATTTGTTCTGCATTCCTTGGCAAACCATCTGGTTGTAAATATTGTAACATTTTTAATTTTTTCCATGAGTTGCCAGTGTGTTTGTGTTGAATTTAAAAATCATTATGGATCTGGGGGGAAATACAAGTTTGCTAAAACTGTATTAGACTAAGTGACTATTAGAGGAAGTGCAAAGCTGTGATTCTGTTTTGATAAAATTCAGAGTTTGGGGTCATGAATATTTAAATACATTGACATATATACCACAAGTAAATTTTACTGTGGATTTCCATCTTATTGATCAGCACTTTTTGCTCTAAACAGACATTGACACAGCTTTCTCTGCCTTAAAGCAGGCTGCTTTGTTTTAGACCTTAGCTTTCTGAATTGACAATATTTAGTAAGTGAAAATTATACCATTTTAACTAGCTAGATTCTTTTGTTCTTAAACCGTAAGAGTTATCTACAGTCATGTGCCACGTAACACCAGGGATATACCTGTCATGCACTATGCTATTTCATGGGCATCTTAGTGTGCATTTACTCAAACCTAGCTGCTACATACCCAGGCTGTAGGGGACCAGTGCAGTCCCTCATTGCATGGGGGGCGTGACTGTAATCGACATCCTCCAGACTTGCAAGAGGCTCTGGTGCATATGTAATCGAGTTGTGCATCTGTTAACATATAGAAGCAATCCCCTAATAAGCAGCATGTAACATTTAATTGTGTCTTTAGTAGTGTTAGGGGAGAATTTGTTCTCTGAAATCTGGCCTGCAGTTGCCTGTCTCTTGTACTTGGTCCGTTTTGGGTTGCAGCCCGGGGACCCAAAACAGAAGTATTTCAAGTCAATAGGACACAGACCCTCAGCCTCACTGACACCTGACTGAGTTAAAGTGGTGGTGCAGAACCATGTTTCCTCATGTCCCTGCTGTCTTCCTGTAAAGCCCTTTGAAGTGGCTGTTGCAGTGTTGAGTTCTCACTAGTGTAGACAGGACATCATTTACTGCTGCACTACACTGTTGTACATAAGCATGTGTTTTAGAAACAGAAGCGTTTAGGGTGATAGCCATGCCTCTGTTTTCTCACTACATGAAAACCTTGTGACTTGGAAGACAGTTAGGGGATGGGGGATGGCAACAGAGGTGGATTTTATTTGTCTAAAACTGTTACATGACCAAACTAGCAGCCAAAACCCCTCTCTTTGTGGTTGAGTCCACTAAGTTTTGCTGGACTTTTCTTTATCTCTGTTCATTTTGTTGTCCTCACTTTATGGGATTCTGTTTGTCCTTTCCCGTCCTAACGCACGGCTCTTGGGGCTCAGTTAGATACCTCTTGGCTTTTGCTCCCACTAACCCACCCACAGACAAGCAAACACCTAGACAACTCTACTCTTCATAGAATTTCACAGGCAGTGATTGTACCTTTACAAACTGTGACCCAGTTCTGTCGCAGGGTCCCAGGTCCCCCAGCCTTTTCTGCAGTAGTCTGGATGGACATAGCACTCCAGGACCTTCCCTGTCCTGGCTCCATGGGGATAGGCCTAACTCAGGACTCCAGCAGCTGTATGGAAGCCTAAGCTTTTCTGGGCCAAGACCCTGGCAGAGAGCTCCTTGGTGGCTAGGACATGCTGGCTCCCTTTTCTTACTGTTGCCCCTCTGAGGGCTGTGGCCTGGTCTCCAGTATGGTGAGCACCCCAAGGCACTGAATTGAGTGAGCTCCAGGAGTTCAGAGGTGCAGCAGGTGACATTTCACTGACCATTGGCTGTGTAAAATGACCCAGTCTAGGGCAGGAAAGATGTCTGCCTAGTATTGAGACTCAGAAGATTGGGCAGGAGTGGTTATCTGCTTGCAGCTTTTCTTTTTAAATTTGGTTTAAATGTGTAACTACACCTAGCTGTGAGGCAGGTTGATTCCTACCCAGTATCACTAGGCTGTGCTGCAGCTTCTAACGGTGGTCTCCTTCTGTTTCCCTGTCGCTGACCTCAGGCACCACACAGTCACTCGAGGCATCACCAAAGGCGTGAAGGAGGACTTCCGCCTGGCCATGGAGCGCCAGGTCTCCCGCTGTGGAGAGAACCTGATGGTAGTACTGCATCGCTTCTGCATTAATGAGAAGATCTTGCTCCTTCAGACCCTGACCTGATAGACCTTTGGCCTCCCTCAGCTCAGCTGTGTGACTAGGGATGACGCAGCTGTGACAAGTGCTAACTACCAGGACTGATGAAAAAGGAAAACACCAAGTTCTAACTACCTTGGTTGCTTGAACTTTGAACCCAAGAGTGTGGGAAGTTATCTCTATTTTTGAGAGTTAAGGTTTTTTTTAATTTGTAAAAAACAAGAGTCAATCCATTTTGTAAATAAAAATCCTACAATTTGAAGTTTTAAAAACATATTTTTTTTTAGTTCAAGTAGCATACATTTGTCTTCTATTTTTCTAAGCATACAGCATGGGGGGCAAAAATCCAATACAACTGAATGGAGGAATGAATTCTATTATGTACTTATGTGATGGAATATGTCTTCTATGACCTCGGGTGTGTTTTCATTGATACACTGTGTTAACTATTACATATAAAGGTAAAATTTGACCTTTCATTTTATGAGACATTGAACTTGAGCCTGCCTTGTCCCTGCTGAGAGTCCACTAAGAGCTCGATGCTTCAAAGTCCCCAAAATGCTGGGACAGGAAAGGGGGGGGGGAGAAATAGCAAAGGGAAGAGCTCTGCTGAGGCCTTGGGAAGTTAGTGTGTCCCAGGGGATCTCCTGGTACTTGGAGCCAGAGAACACTGCTTGGCAATCACCTGCACCTCTGTCCCTGCCCTGTATTTGTGTATGTAACCGCGCACATGTGCAAACACACACACACACACACACAGAGTAACCAGAATTACATTCCCTGGGTGCTGCATACTGTCACAGACTAGGTTGTTTTACAGATGTTTTCTAAAAAGCACAGGCATTCTTACTTCCTCCCATGGTCACTCTGTGTATCCTTTGGGTCTTAACATAGCCTACTGAGGCATAGGCCTTAGGTGTAAGTGATTTTCTTGCTCAATCAACTGTCATGGTTTAATAGTGTCTCCCAAAAGTCAATCATTGTGTTCAAACTGGTCCTGACTCCATGTCAATTTAGTGCTTCATAAAAGGTGATTGTTCATAGACTGTCAGTAGAAGTTTCTTTTCTTTTTAATTTCATTTAACTATTTCCTGTTGAAAAGTCTTTATGGATCCAGTGAGTACCTTTTAAAATACAATGCTAGAGCTGGAGAGATGGCTCAGCTGTTAAAGGCTAGGCTCACAACCAAAAAATACAAAATACAATGCTGGAGAATACAACGGTAATCTGGGAGAAATAAAAAGTGATTTCATGATTTGAGTATATTGTTCACATTAATTAGTAAAAAGAATAAAAAGGAATGAAAAAAAATTAATAAAAGGGACCACAGTCACACAGTAGTTTGTATTTAAAGTTAATTCTTAATGAGATGCCAAGTGAAGGTCTGAGTGACATTGCAAGGTCGTCTTGAGCACAGTGGAGAATCTGTCCTTTTGCCAAGGAGCATCCTCCTGGTAAGTTACTCCTGAGAAGACTGACTGACATAGAGAGATAAGATGGTTCTTTAACCAAAACTCAGCGACAACCAGCCAGCTGCCCAGAGACTTGTTTGTCAAGGGAGGCAGCGCCACACCTCCAAGAGCTGCATTAACATTCTGGGTACAGTCAGTAGCCACATGTTGTGGCCCAGTGTCTTTCCTGGGGTTCTGTTGCCATGCTCTGGAATGCTGCTTAGCCCAGTGTGAACAGAAAGTTGTCATAAATTCAATGCAGCGTTGACTCCTTACAGTTTTTGTTTTCTTGTTAAACTTGGAACTCAAGACAATGCTAAACAGTACCTCAGTGGCTTTCAGCGAGGTAAAGGAAATAGGGTCTAGATGGCCTTCCCCACAGCCTGACCCTCCAAGCCGACAAGCAGCCTTTTGCCTGTGATACACTTTTGTCACTTGGGATGCTGTGGAGTAACTCCTTCCAGAGAACTGGACACCTCAGGTAAGGGTCATGCTGGAGCTGAGATCAGTTCACCACAAATTGGGTGAAAATTAACTTTGATAGGCCAACCTGTAGGAGCAGCTGTTAGCATTTCAAATGTCTCAGACTCTTTATTAGTCAGTTACTAATTTAAATATAATGAAATAATAGTAACATTTGCTAGCTCTATACCTGGCCTTATGCCATGTATTGCACGTGTATTTTCTCAAGACAACCCAGTGTGGTGGGTTTAGTAAGAGGGTGAGGCACCTGAGACTTGTGTTCTGTTTCTACACTGAGGTCACAGGACTTGAGACCTATGCTTGATTAATGCTTTGGTGTTGGAATGAGACCTGGCCATGCTGTTGGATTCGCTGAGAGCTCCCCATACTAGTGTTGTATTGTGCTTTGGGGATAGCTATCCAGGAGAGAAGAGGAGAGACTAAGGGTGATGCTTGCTTCCCATAGAACTTGACAAATGGGAGCCCACCATGAGATCCCTGTATACTAGAAGCCTGGGTCAATGATGTTAGACAGACATTTAGAGATGAAACACTGAAGAATGGAGGGGGTGTGGATGAGGCCTTGCACGGACACAGGGCTGGAAAGATGAAGTCAGTTTTATTAGGTTAATAATCATCAAATCCTGTTGTGTGCTCATAGGAAGGAATTTAGGCACCTAGAGGTATAATAAATACACAAAGGTAACTTAATGGTAGAAGCTTGCTTAGCGTGTTCAAAAGGCCTGGCTTTGATTCCTAGCTCTGGGGAAAAGTGAATGTGATCAAATGCAAATTATAAGCACATACAAAGATGGTGTAACAAAGCTTTTTATTTGCCCTGTTAATGCATGCTAATGAAGTAACTGATTATGAACACAACAGGTGCCATTCCTCCAGGCACTGATTTGACAGCTCACGAGCATCACATTTCTGTGGATTCAGACTTCTAACCTTGGCCCCTTCCAGTTCTAAGATTAGAACTATTAACAAGAGAAGAAGTGGGGAATGTAAGGATGGAAAAAATGTAGCCTAATTTTCCCTGGACTCTGCCCCCTAGCAGTGAGTAGGCAAAAAAAAAAGGTCATTCTTGACTGTTTACAACAGGGTGGTTTACCGAAAGCACCTGTGAGTGAATGTGAACAGGAAATGAGCGGTGCCACACTACCCAGAAGCCCTAGCGAAAGCAGACTTCCTGGGCTAAGCGGGGCTTGGATAGTTCAAATTGATTGGTCCGCACTGGATACTATGAGATGATTGGTTTGTGATGCGCGGGCTTTGTTGTAACCCTATAAAAGCTGTCTGAACCCTGTACCCAGGGTTCCCAGTCCTCTACCCCACGTGGAGTATGGCTGTGGACCCCAGTGCACTGGAATATAAAAGACCTCATGCTTTTGCATCAAGACCGCTTCTCGTGAGTAATTTGGGGGGCCGCCTTTCCTGAGTCAGGGCGTGAGGGTCCACGCCCTCCGCAGGCCTTACACTCTGAGGTCTCTGTCCTATCAACTGGCTTGTTCCAAAGCCAGTCGCAGTTCTTACTGTGAACACACAGACTGGTTCTACTATCCTGAATTTCCGATTTCTGGGTCCAATCTCTTTGTCTTGTAATATTCATACTGTACATTTGGAAATGTTTCTCACATACATGCCTAGGTGATAACTCGTTGAGACTTCTGGGGCCCATATTTCAGCTTTTGCTGTATTTACTGCACTCTGCCATTAGAATGCAAAGGTGAGGCAGAAAACATGTAAATTCCACATGGAAACAACACTCTTTGTTTATGTGCAAGAAGTTTGTTCTCATTTCAATATTCACAGGTTTCTGTACTCAAAGCCTCCTCAGGTCTTAGTAGATGCAGTTTGTTTTGAACAAAAGAAGCAATTACCCTTTAGGCATTTGGTCTATTCTGCTTTAAAAGCCTATTTTTATTCATCATTTTGGGAGGGCTACTGAGCTTTACAAAAGAAATAATTCCCTAGGCACTATTCTGGGAAGCCTATTTTTTCAGTACTTATTAAAAGCAGGAAGACAGATTTTATTCAAGACTGTTGCAGGATGGAAGAGATTGAATTCAAGTGGAGATTTTGTAGCCAGGGGGCAAGTAAGGAAGCTATAGAATTAAGAGGATTTTGGGCTGGGTTTGAGGTTTGAGGCAGAGCAAAGCAAACCGATTACTTGTTAACTGGGGTGGGGCACCAGGCGTGGGGAGTAGGGGGTTAACTTGTTACTGGGGTAGATTTCAGAAAGCTGGCTTAGTGAAACTCATTTCAGAAACTGGATTCAGCAGACTAAGTCAGAGGCTAGTGGAGACAACAGGGCCCAGGGGACATAGACTAAAGTGTGGCCAAGAAATGAACACAACTGGCTCTTGCTAGGTAACATGATCATTGAGTAACACTGTTTTTGACCCATGTGTTACGTTTGTGTCACTGTGACGCAATGTCTGACAAGAACAACTTGAGGGAAGAAAGATACGTTCTGACTCATGGCTTCAGAGGATCCAGTGTGTCTTGATGAAGGCTTGGAGGGGAGGCTGCAGTCACTCATGGCGGAACTGAAAGCATCCAGGGATAACAAATTCCTGAAGACTTGTCAAAAGTTTGGTGGATGTAACAGTGGTTGGTTCTAGGGTCTCAAGTCTTCTCCATTTGTCTATAGGTCTGTTTTTATGCCAGGATCATACTGGTTTTGCTACTATAGTTCCGTGGTAAAACTTGAGATCTAGTTTGTGATCCCTGTAACATGTCCTCTTTACATAAGGTTTTAAGTTCAGGACTTCTCACTTCCCTATGAGTTTTAGGATGATTTTTTTCTAGGTCTGTGACGAATGCCATTGGGATTTTAATGGAGATTACACTGAATCTGAAGATTGTTCTCAGTAATATAGCCATTTCCACAATACAAATATAAGACCCTCAGAATGAGGAGTCTTCCAGTTTCGGTCGGTACCCCAAGAACTCAATGTCCAGTCCAGTTGCTGCAACACGCAAGAGGCTTTAATGAACAGGAAACATTTGCCCAAACGGGCTCCTCCAGCACGCAGGCTAGAGAGAAGCCGCCTCCCCCGGGCACAGGTGTTTTTAAAGGCAAAACCCACAAGCTTAGAGAGGGGGTGGGACCCTCTGTCCATTGAGTATGTGACCCTTTGAGGCTGGATGGTTTGCTATTAGGGTCAACAGACCTTAGGGCCTCAGGGTGTGCTAATTAATTTTGTCTGGGCAAACTGGAGTTGCAGCTATCTCTTTGTTTCTTAAGGACTCTATTCACCACCTGCTGACTCACAGGAAAGGAGGGGCAGTGTGAATTCTTGTTATCTCAGGGCCTTGTGAGGGGAAGTTAGCAAATTCCAAG